CCTAGACTCTGAGAGGGCATTTGACACTGTTCACCACGACCTTCACCTACACAAAATAAGCCAGGCATATATAGGTAAGCCACTTCTGTCATGGTTAAAGGACTACCTAGCTGAAAGGCGATTTTGCACTAAGGTCAGTCGAGTCCGATCATCTTGGCACAGATCGTCATCAGGAGTGTCACAGGGTTCTATCCTCGGACCACTGATGTTTTTGATTTTTATCAACGATCTACCATGCCGTCTAAGCTGCCTGACTCTCCTATACGCTGACGACGTAAAGATATGGAGGGCGATAAAGTGTCCGGAGGACTCAGACAGGCTAAAGGAAAACCTAAACCTTCTGGAGGACTGGGCGGTGGCCAGTGGCATGACTTTCAACTTGAAAAAGTGCAAAGTAGTGAAGTTACTCACTTGTAGACCCCAGAATGCAAGTTACACCCTGTGCAATGAAAACTTGTCCTGCACAACGTCGGAACGCGACTTAGGTCTAGTTCCAACGGAAAAACTGGACACAAGCGTAAATTACACGGGGGATGTAGCGAGGGCATATGCGGTCATACACTTTACACACAGACAGTAAGGTGCACTCACTCCTGAGCTCTTTCTAAGGTTGTACAAAACATACATCAGACCACACCTTGAAGTGCATAATAATATTGCACCCCAACTGCTTAGAAGAGACGCCAACCTCTTGGAAAGAGTCCGACGACGGGTAACAATAGGAGTTGTTGGTCTCCGAAACAAACCATATGATGAAAGGCTGAAGAAATTAGGCCTGTTCACACTTAGCTACCGTCGGCTTAGGGGGGATTTGATTACTGCCTACCAAATAACAAATGACCAGAATCACCCAAACAAAGGTGTTCTGCCATTGAGTAGGTATAGGCTCCCTCGTGGAAATCCCAGAAGGATAGCTCACCAGAGGGTAAGGACCCGGGTGCGCTCCCACTTCTTTTCACTGCGGGTTTGTGGTCCCTGAAATTCCTTACCGGCAGAGGTAGCTATGGCACCGTCTGTGGACTCCATTTAGCGAAGGCTGGACAACCATGCGGCGACACAAGGACTGCATCCAAATGGCCTATCTCCTTAAAATCGCATACACCACTCATGGGTAGACAATTAAACTTGTCCTTTTACTTCTTTACATTCTCTCCCGTCTTACTCTCCTGACAACTTTAACTACACTTATCGTTATTACCTATATATATGTATATATTATTCATATTATTCTTCAAATTTAATCAGCTGACTATCGTTACGTTTTCTTATTTGTTTTTCTGTCTGTTAGTCTGAATAACTTCACTAATTATATATATTATTATCATCTTTTTTCTTTCGACGACGATACCGGAGGACTTACTGGTGAAAGGATCAACTCCATTCACAGTAGTAACAGTCTTAGCACACCTCATATTACAAACCACTTATAATTGATCCCAGCACTACTACATTTGGAGTCAACCAAAACCACGACAGTCGAGTGGCGGGACTAGCTATGCAGAAGTTTACCAAAGATCAGGAACCTATACCTTACGATCAAGAAGCGAGCACAAAGAAACCAAATTGGTTTATACTAGCTCGTAAAAACGATATTGGATATTGTACTGAGTTACCACTGCTCTGGTACTGAGCATTCATTTTCTCCGGGATAATGTTATTCACCCCCCTTTTATTGCGTCGAGCAAGGCTTTAGAACTCAAGAGAATGAGCTGTACTGGTATTTGCCAAAAGTCTTCATCCTGTTCAAAATAACAAGTATCGAGTACTGAAAAATCATATGGTTTAATACAGACTTAGCAAGAAGATATTTCATTTTCGAACAAAATGTGGTGCGTGAGAATGTCATCACACGACTCCACTGAAGAACAAAATCAGTTTTTTAAGCAAGGAAGTGAAATTAAATGGAATGATAGTCTTGAACTAGTTTACAAACAACTGATGCATTGGATATTGGACGCGTGCAATTGCCTTGAGTTAAAACTTAAGAGGGATGTTTTAAGGTGAGAGCTACGTTGAAGTGAGATATTTTCTTGAGGCAATTTTCTTTCTTATGTTTTTTCGAGGTGTAGCATTCTCCATAGTTCCCTCTATTTTGTGACTGACGCAATCGTTTTTTTGTCCAAAATTTCCGCGTAAAATTTTCTCGCACTTCAAAAAATGAAAAAGTAACACCTTTAGTAGATATTTATATTATTTGACATTAGTTATGTGTTTCATAAAATAACAGTTGTTGTATGGTTCCCTAATATTCGTCAACACTGACGTCCTTTGTAGTTTCCCTATGGATGCCGACCAGATTAATTTGGTCTTATATGAATATTCCGACGTTTGGGTTTTGTTGAATGAAACTATAATATTGTGTTAGTGCTCTCTTATTCGTGTTTCGTATGGTTTCCGCATTTTCGGAAGCAAGTCCTCTCTAGTCTGGTTGTACAACGAGACCATGCATTAATACAGGCTAAACTTCAATTCGGAATGGGGACTTAGAATCCTTTAGGCGTGATATCCTGAGCTAAAGTTCAACAATTTAATCCACAATACCTCTTGACCGTGTACAAAATGGGGGCTTAACGTACATTGTCACAGACACTTAGGTGTACTACTCGGTAGTGTTGTAGTGGCAATGTTCAAAGCTCCATGGTTCAGTTTATTTACATGTTTTTGTGGAGATCACCAACTATTAAATCGTAATATTCGAATTACGTCTGTGAATCCGTGTATGCCTCTGCACATATGACTGAGATGTGGAGACAGTGCGCTTCCAAAATGGCATCAATATTATTAATCAAGTACTGTACTATAAGTCTGAAATTCTGTTTAGATGACATGTATATGTATGTTTAACGTCAGAGTGCATGGATTTCATTTCAGATTGCTTCGTCGGATTTTTAGTTTTGAGCTCCTTTTTAGGAGATGCTCATCATTTTTTTTTCACAGTTGCAGTGAACTGTGATAAATAACTCTCCACCGTACATGTACTTGTCGTCTGTTAGGGTATTTTTTGGGGAAATATTCATTTGTATTCAAACTGAGGTTATGTGTTTTGTGAGGCAGATGATATGCAAAGCACCGATTAAGCATAAATATTCTTTGTCACAATCACATAACTCCATGATGTTCTCTGTGGTATTCGCTTCTGATGAAGCAGTTTATGATAGCCAGGTGTACACTGACTAGTTTTATATAGTATTCTAAAAGTTCGCTAATGGCGTTTTTATGTGAAATAAATGAGTTAATAAGTATAGGTCTGAGGATTGTTTTTGGCGGCCATTATTGGATGACTGATATAAATGTTACGACAGGTGGGTAAATTGAAACAATCGATGAGACTGTTAATCTTCGTTGACTGAACTAACTGAAATATGTTGTGCATACGAAGTTAGCTAGTTCCTGCCAGTTGCAATCTTAGGTGTATCAGTTGAGCTTGAAAATACTAAGAGTAACTGGGGCAACAGAAACAGGAGTCTTTATAGTCCTCAAATGTTCATATCAATGAACCTTGTCTGTACCTGGACTCAAACATTGGTTTTTCGATAAGGTTTCGTTAATCTACAGCAAGAAAATTAAGGTATCGTGATATTGATCATTTAATCTCTGCCCTTAACATACGTGTAACTTCCCAAATTATCTCGTAAAATGATGATTGTCAACTGTACTTCTCGATTTGTAGTAGGTGGGGTTATGTATGAGTCCAATGTTTCTGGTGCGCAACTAACATAGCTCTTAGCATTCACTGTATAACCATGTAGGTAACCGCGGATAAGTAACCACGTGATTTACTACTTCCGAAGAGTTATCACTTTTCTCTTTTTGTTGTTAATCAAGGTAATATGGATATTCAATCTTTTTTATTTGTAGCAATTTAACAATTACACAACATACTACAGCATCTAGTTTCCGATTCATAATTTATGGATTTGTCTTTTCCTGAGGTTGGATTTGAGCTTTTGTACTTGCTCAGTTTACTATCGATTATCATCACTTAAAAGTAAGTGAAATAAAGTAGTCTGTTGACTGTAATGTGTTACCATTGTTATTAATCACTCACAGTGCATACTTGTTACACAATATATCAGGTGTACAGGCGTTTACACTCGAGGGGGTAACAACATTCGAAAATTCTTCTACCTTTACATGGTTACTAAATATTGTTGTGAATGCCTAATTGATGAGTCATTCGTGATTGTCAAAAGCGCTAATAAAAAAAATAGTTTTCAGGTCATTTTTTTATCGTACATTTTCCGTATGTTTAAGCTGTACTCACACATATGTGTGGATAGTAAAGAAAACAGATATCCAGGATAAATGCTTTATACTTTTATTGTTATGTGTGTAATAATATGAGAGATTATAGGGAATAATGCTGTGCCAGACCACACTGCATTGACTAATCTATCGGAATAGAGTATAAAGCTGCCGCCTTGTGTTTACCGCCCACATAATTTATCTGTCAGATGTTTAGTTTGAGTAAATAAGTTCCAGTTTTCTTAAATTGTAAACTACCCATTGTTAAGATTATTTAAAAAATATTTTTTTTAAAGCAGAGATTTTTGTATAGATTTTCAAAGAGTTAGACATACTTTATCGTTTTCAGATTTTTATTGAGGTTTTCTGTAGATAAAGCAATAGCATATTGTAGAGGCTTGTGTTAATATGGACTGAAACGCAGGTAGGTGCCGACCGAACATGTAAAAAAGACAATTTTTACGCATTCAGATGCTTCTTTCAGTATGGAGTTGTATATCTTCTTTCTACGTGTACATTGTGTCATGTCTATGGTTACCTGATATCAGTAGTGGATAGCATGATTACTTGTAAATGTGCCGTAAATACTTCATTGAACAGGAAAATCATGTGTATCCAACTATTTCAGGGTTATTTTTATTTTCATTTCGGCATGTAATATCTGATATGTTTGATTTTTTGTTCCAGGACAAGATTTGCACAGGATATGTTGGATATCGTTGTAGCCACACCGTCTTGATTGTGAAGGAATATCTATGAAGAGTTTAACAATTGAGAATATGCAGGATAATCAGAGTGTTCGTATTGCATATTATCGCCTACATCCAGGGCGTAACAGGTTTTGTTGCCATGGTCGTGGAGTATATTCTCGTGACATGTGTATATTTACTGTCAGTTTACTTTTGATTATTGGCGTTACAATACTGTTTTTTGCATTCGAATGTCGCCTTCTAACTCCACTACTAACTCCGGCTGTGCCTATTTTGGCAGCAGTTCAATTCGTGTATGTGGTCATTACATTTCTTCGCTCAGCATTCACAGATCCAGGAATTATACCACGAGCTACACGTCCTGAGATGGAGTGGACTGAAATGTCAATTGGTAAGTTTTGCATAAGGTAACTTCTGCTTCGTCGTCATATTAATTTGTGTAGTGTTGAGATTGCCTTAGCATGTAGATAACTTGTTTGGTTAGCATGAAAATGTGTTTTCCTTAAAATGAACTGCATGCATTTCAAGTTTCGAAGTGAGCACAATGTAATATTTCGCTAAAGTGCTCAATTTTTATCCGTTTACTACAGTTTCTATGTGTCGTGTGTGTCTTACTAGAGAGATAATGTAGGAAAAGATAGTAGTCATCTTTAGACTGGGCTTTTTCCATGAACTTACATCTGTTAACTAGGTTATATTATTTCATTACCCTCTTCAGTTCCTGGACAATTTCTGTTGTAGTCAGTGTGAAATTGCAATTCTTCAGTTGTGCTATGGGAGTGGCTAAATGCAGTGCCAGTTTATATCTATTTAATCGTAGACAGTTTAATTCCTTTTCAATTATTTATCTATCAACATATATATATATATATATATATATATATACATACGTCCTCAAAGCAACTGCTTAATTTCCGACTAGATGTAGATAGAACATTCATAGAACTGCTTGGTTATTCAGTATTCTGTCTTACTTGATTACTGTCACACCCTATGAACGACCTGGTACAGTCAAAGGTGACCAGACTTCGGTCTTTTTCGTGAAATGATCTCACGGTGGGGCCACACATTCATAGCCTGCCTGTGCCACATAAGTCCTATTCATTGCATTGTCTTCAGGCGACGGCGGAGGTGTACCCTACCAAAAGTGTAAGAACAAATGTAAACGTTTGGTGCTAACAACCGGCCTAACTGGTGAACATGTTGTGACCTACCCCTACATAGAGGAGCCTAGAAAGCCCTGATTTCAAACGTATGTTGTGTACAAGACGTATGAACCTGTTCTGGTCACTGGAAGTTATGTCAGCGTGACTCCTCACTCTGGTCCACTGCCTTGTGGATCAGACTGTGAGTCAAAAGTCCGGGGTGCAGTGGTCGTTTAAGACAACTCAACTACCTGCCTCTGTCAAGATATTCAGGTGGTATCCCAACTACCGCAAAAATAATGCGATTTTGTGTGGCGCATTGCCTAGTGTCTATCATGTACCAGGCTTTTGTTTTAATAATACTACTACTACTAATAATAATGATTCATGTTAGGTGAATGTCGTATTTTCAGCATTACAGTGGTAGTTTCAACTGTTGTATATATCACTGCATGTAATTAGTGAATTATTCGTCATTTGAGAGAAAAGGAAAAGTTTTGATGTTCGGTTCATTTTTATGTGAAGTTTTTATCTGTTGTTGCTGTTTGTTTACTAGGCGTACAATTTTTATAGTGTTCATTTCATTGACGTGCATATATACTATATATTTTGTTTGTTGTTGAAAAAAAAATAGCTTCTGGAGATATAGCCGTAAATGATGTAAATAATCAAAATGATCGTGATATGAATACAGTTCGAACTTATCCACCCGGTGCAAGAACACGTCAAATACTTATTGGGGATCATCTAGTCAAAATTAATTATTGTCATAGTTGTCGATTTTTTCGTCCTCCTCGAGCATCACATTGCTCTTCGTGTGATAATTGTGTTGGTAAGTGCCCCCATCTCTTCTTCTTTTTTTATTTTTTATCTCTGGCTACTTTTGTATATTGTTCAACCCATATCTTCTACATAGGGATCGATTTGATGCATATTGTAATACATTTTGTTTGTTTGTTTGTGGAATTGTAACCAATACTTGCCTAGTCAGTTGACTGGATTGATTAGTCATTAGTTTGTAGGTTATGTTTTCAGCCAACTGTATTGGTGTCTCACGACCGTTCTTCTTCTTCTTCTTCTGAGTTCATTCTTCACTAAGTAGGAGTTGTTTCCTATCCTGCAAAAGTATATTGGATCGTACTTTTACTTTTATATACTCCCTTTAACTACTGTTCCCACGGGTTCCGAGTAGAACATAGGGCTTCAAAAGAACATCTGCAGTATGTCCTGTTCTCTGCAGTCCTCTTAAGCTGACCCCACGATTGCCCGTAGGCTCTTACCTCCTCCTCCTTCCAACACAATCTCCTCCATGTCACTCTCGAGGCCTGACCGAAAGCTGCTACCCTGACGTGGTGGTCGGGGTTGCGTGTGGCAATGATCCAACAAGCTATACTGGGTCGAACTATTGTTCCTACAGGTCCTGCTATACCTGGAAGATTGTTAGGATAGCGATTAGACTAAAAGCAGTTACCGGCATAGTGTAATATTCTTTTCTGCATTATATTGGGGGTCTGTGGCTGGAGTCGTACTGCTGGAAACAGGGATGTAACAGCTGTTGTGACTAGCCATTGTTTTTTAGAATCCCGATGGCTCCAACCATAGTAGTCCACACCACCCCATGTGACTCAAACTAACTATCAAGGATTTTCAGGTGTTGGTTTGCAGGGATTTGATTGGTTTCAAGATTTTATCTTGGCCTGACATCGGTTGGAAGACCACTGGAAAGCTTGCGAGTGCTGGGCAGCTGTTTCACCCCAGTTTGCGACTCTTCATTAGTACGCACCCACTGCCAGGGTTCGGACCATGAACCTTCTGGTCAAGAGGCGAGCTCGTAGACTATTAAGCGACTGAGACCCGATCCGATGGTCAGTCCATGATTTCCAACTTCTACCAACTCATGATATGGAGCCACCACTAGCGAATGTCGTCGGTGAATATTTGTCCTCACACCCGAACTGCTTCTGTTAAATCCCTGGAAACTAACACTTGAATATCAATCTGATTCTCACTAGTGACTAGCCCTATTCGGATAGGTAGTTACCTGGGTTGTAGTGGGAAGTCGTGACCAGTGAGTTACAACAGGTCGGGTGTGAGGGCGAATACTCACCACGGATGACATTGGCTAGTGGTCGCACCATATCATGAATTGGCAGAAGCTGGAATTCATGAACTGACCATTGGATCGGGTCCCAGTGGTTGCATTGTCTATGAGCTCGCCTTGCAACCAGAAGGTCCTGGGTTCGAACGCCAATGGTGGGTGTGTACTGCTGAAGGGTCCCAAACTAGGCTGACGAAACAACTGTCCAGTGCTCCCACGTTTTCCAGTGGTTATCTAACTGATGTCATGATTTCATGGACTGACTCCATGTTTTTGGTTTGACAACCACTAGCTTTTTCTTTTCCAACCTTATTGGATTTCAGCTAACATTGCTTGTCAAAAAAGACAGTGGGTAGGGATGCGTATCACACGTCCTGACCATTACAACCGATGTAGCCTCACAACTTCGATTTAATTTCCCTCCTTACCTAACACTCGACCGTATTGATCATATCTTCACCCTCCGACAGATTCTAGAACATAGGCATTTCTACCGGCGTCCAACAGTCATTATATTTCTTGACCTAAAGGCACCATTCGACTTTGTCGATCGAGAAGTTCTCTGGAGATGCTTGGCTGTAAAGGGAATCCCGAGAAAATATATTACACTGATTAAGGCACTCTACTCGTACTCATACAGCCAGGTGAGGGCTTACGGCGAGCTGTCATCTGAAGTGGTGACGACTAGTGGTGTCCGTCAAGGATGCCCATTATTCCCTTTTCTATTCAACTTCATCAAAGATGCACTAATGGAATTAACCCTAGCTCACTTCAGCCACTCAGGGATTGACTTGTTACCCCCACGGAATAATCTCGTTGACGTGGAATATGCAGACGATATAGTCCTTCTAGGCGAGGACGCTGACAAAATACAGCAGAGTCTTCCGAACCCCTTGAGCTGCAATCTACGAATGTTTGTCATGCGATTCGCTCCCACCAAATGCAAGATGATGTTACACGACTGGACTACACCGACTCCTAGATTAGAAATAGGAAGTGAATTGGTAGAGCACGTTGACCGCTTCACTTATTTGGGAAGTACCATCAGCCAGCGCCAACGGGTTGATCTCTGACGAAATCTCAGCACGAATACAGGGGGCTCGTTTCGCATTTGCCAGTTTACGCCGACTCTGGTGTAGACGAGATGTTCGACTATCGATCAAAGGGCGGGTGTACTGCTTATCAGTCCGCTCCGTCCTCCTTTGTGGCTGGCTGGCTGGCTGTGAGACCTGGCCATTGAGAGTGGAAGATATGAAAAGATTAGCTGTCTTTAATTATAGGTGACTGCGTTCTATCTCCCGTGTGAAGTGGCATAATAAGGTGAGCAACATTGAGGTTAGGCGTCGAGTTCTAGGTAAGGAGGGGAAATCAATCGACGAAGTTGTGAAGTTACAAAGACTGAGATGGTTAGGACATGTGTTACACACGTATGCCAAGCCATCGCCTTCCTCGACGACAGGCAATGTTAGCTGATATAGGGTCAGGCTGGAAAAAAGCTAGCGGCGGTCAAACAAAAACTTGACACCAGTCGATGAAATCTACAACAGTTAGTCTAAGCCATGTTGGAATGTGTAGACTGGCTTCCTGGTTGAGGTCCTCGAGACAGTAAAAACAAATGGTTGGAAACAATTGGTGATATAGCTCAAAATCGTTGTCAGTGGCTGACGCAGATGCATCCACTCCTTGTGATTTATGATTTCCAATGAAACTATTTTGTTCTTCGTTAGTACTATTCCTTTGTCTCACACCTCTGTTTACTGTCTCTATTATGCTTTTCTTGTACTTTCTTGTGTTGCTTTGTGTGCTACAAGGAGGGAGTGTGGTGACTTGAAGTGCCGCACATCTGTGCAAAGTTCTATGTCGAAAACAGACATACAACCGATAAAGCTTCACAACTTCATCGATTTACTTCCGCTCCTTACTGAACATTCGACCGATACCTAACCTCAATATTACTCAGACTACTATACCATCTAACATCTGAGACAGAATGTAGACGGCTTTAGTCAAAGACATCTAGCTCTTTCCTATCATCCACTCTTAATGACCATGTTCAGTATCCATAATGGAGGACGAAGTGAACTTGCTAACAAGAAGCATACACATTCTTTGATCGATAACCAAGTGGAATATCATGTACACTTTAGAGTGGAACATAACTTACAAATCACATAGGCTAGTGGGCATTATAAATGATAAATTCTGGATTACTTGGACTTTGTTCCTGTTGGAAATGATGAGTGATTATATTATTAACTTCAAATTTCCTTTTAATCACAAGCACCTTACTCATCTTAGGTACTGGAAATTATTTATTTATTTATCCTTTTGTTGCTTATGAGAACAAATTTTTTTTACAAGTAAAGTCTTCTCAGATAGTGGTATATAAGTACAACAAGTGTAATTACTTCATGTGAAACAAGTTGTGTTAATAACAGAAAATATCTCATTACTATTTAAAACAACTACATTGTATCCTTTTTCTATTGACGTTTAAGAAGACTTTGTTAATTGTGTGTGTGTGTATTCCACGTAAATATATGCGAGTTATTATAATGACAAACATTATTTATTTATTTAAACGCTTAAAAAACTCGGTACAACATGACACCAAGAAAGATGCGCCACACAATAATAATAAAACAACATAGATCAAAAAAAAGGAAGGAAGGAAAAAAATATATATATAAGTAGAGAACGGATAAAGAACCTCATCTGGAAGGAAAACAGTCATGCTTAACAAGTTCAAACAGTATTCGTTAATTATCATCGGGAAGGGAAGAAAGAAGGAAATTGCAACACGTTCGTCATTGATGACTGCGATTCTTGGCCATATCCGATAACGTTTCGAGCCATCGATTTGAGCTATCTCTCGGACCCCAACCAGGGAGTCGTGACACACCAACCGATGTTAATCTAGCACGAAAATCCTTCATCCCACGACGCCACGTCATGGACTGACCACCTCTCCGCCTTTTCCATCCCGTCCCAGGGCTAGCGAACAGAGACAAACAGTTCGAAAGTGGATACTTAAGACCAATAAATAAATAAATAGATAAATTTTTAAGTATTGGTTTACAGCGATTTGATGATTGATTTCAAGTTTTTGATGACGAAACTCACCCATCCATAGTTAAAGTCCCATTGAAAACTAGCGTGTGAGCACAGAGATACTCACAGACGATTGGCTGATTGGCGGTTTGATTCAATGACTGGTTTTAACGTAGAACTACTTTGCACAGATGTGCAGTAGTTCGAGTTGCCACTCTCCCTCCATGTTACCCCACAGAGCATGAGTGAGTGAGTGAGTGAGGCAGAAAGAACAGTAATATCGAAGAACAATTGGGATTTTATTGGAAATGATAAATCATCACAAAGAGTGAATGTATCTACACTAGCCATTGACAACGACAACGATTTTGGGCCATATCACCAATTGTCTCCAGTGTTCATTGGTTTTTACCACTCCGAGGACCCCAACCAGTCAGGAAGTCTACACATCCCTACATGACTGGCTGGCTGGCTAGCTGGCTTACACTAACTGTTGTGGATTTCATTGACTGATGAAGCCATGTTTTCCTTTAGCCACCAACCATTAGCTCTTTTCTAACCTGATCCATCTTATGTCAACTAACATTGCCCATCATCTATAAAGGCGATTCATGGCTGCGCATGCCATGTCCTAACCATCCAAATTGGTGTGACTTCACAACCTAGCCGTCGATTGATTTCCC